GATGCAAAGGCAGATGGGGAGGGAAGAAGCCCCAAGATTTCCCAGGGAGTGGATTGAGTAGCTTGGTTGTACTGGATGCGAAGGATCAGGGAGAGAAAAGGTAAGCCTCAGAGCCCCAGAAAGAGGCTGTCAGCCCCAGAAGGAGGCTGGCGGGTGTTGCAGGACCAGGGAAGTAGAGGGAGGTGAGGGCAGGGCCAGGTCCAGAAGCGGTGCTCCTGGGGCCCAAGAAAGGTACTAAGTTGGTCTGGGTGAGAAGGATCAGGAAGCAGTATTGGTTCCCCAGGTGTCTGGGGCCGCAAGACTAGGAATGGCGCAGGTCCCAAACTTGGAGTAGTGAACAGCAGGGGAGATGGAAGGGTGAATGTGGCTTGGGGATTCAAGGCGCGGAGGGCTACGCTATAGACTTACCCCAAGAGGCCTGAGGATAGGAGTCTCAAGATACATTTTTTAAGTTGTCATATCTATCTTTGAATAACTCACTTTTTGTATATTATATGAACTTTACAACAGAATATTTTCATTTCTCAAAACCCACTTATTCTGGCTACTGTTATCTTTCATTTTACTTAAATATACAAATCCCACCGAGTAATTTCTTTTAAAGAGATTTGTGAAATGAGAAAAATTTTAAACAACTAGATTCATCACTCTTAGAACTTCATTCTAACTAAATATTCTTGTAGTATAACGGTCTCCCTACCTTATGTACTTTAACTTTTTTAATCCAGTGATATAGAAAATAAATTCTCTTAGCCCTTGCTTGTTCAAAAAAGTCTGTATTTCACCTTCATTTTCAAAAAATTAAAATACAAGGATTCTTAGGGCTTTCTGTCCAGACAGTCTAGCTAAATCAGCGAATTCCAGGTTCAGTGAGAGATACTGTCTCAAAAACGTGGCAAATGATTGAGTAAGACACATGCTACTGTCCTCTGGAGTGTATACACACACACACACACACACACACACACACACACACACACCCCTCCAAAACCCAAAAACTACAATGTAGCTTATGATTATGTTAGTCTTAAATTTGGCTAACACAGATGGCCTATGATAAAATATGTGGCATTGAGTTGCTCTAATAGGCCTCTCTGAGCAGAAACATTACACATATATTCATACATCTTTGTTTGCTCAGGAAAAAGAATTTTTGTGTGAAGTCTTGAGAGGAACAGAGCATAAGGCAGCCTCCACATAGATACCTCCACATTCCCCCTGTTCTTTTCTTTATGATCCATACATATATCCTTACTATAGTGATGTGATAAATCTTAGCCATAACCACCACTATGTACCAAGTTCTAGAAGTCTTTCTAATTATAATCTCAAAATGTATAGGCGATGTTTATACTTCCAATACAAATACATTAGAGAATTAACTTTTTCAATGTGGCATATTTTTTTCCAGGATAACCAGAACCTGATTTCCCCACTATGAAATTTGGAAATCAGGTTTTCCTGTCATTTTAAAAGACCAAATGTGGGGTGGGAGGACAAATGTCAAAACCTTGTACAATTTTGAAATATCATAATTAAACATGAGCTGGTTTCCCATTAAAAAAACCCTGATTTCCCCACTATGAAATTTTGATATTTATTTAAGTGACTTTACATTAACTATCCTTTTCCCTGTTTAATAACCAATAAGTTCATTACTTTAATGATTCTGTTTTCTTTCTTTCATTTCAAAACCATATGCCCTTGAGAATTTGTCTATTTTAAACACCTTTTAAAATATCTTTGCTACTGTATCTTTAATACCTCTTTAAATCTTTGTTATTTTAAATACCTTAAGATCCAAAGAATCCTGGTCAAAAAAAGTTTACCCACCTTTGTCTTATTTTTAAACATGAGTTCACATCTCTTATCTCTATAAATCATAAATTCAGTAATATGTGACTATACTTAGACTGAAAATAGCAAGGATATTTTACAAATTATAGTTATTAGACTCTTAAAATATAGACATAAAAGTAGGTATTCAAGAGGGACCCAAAGGATTTTGTTTGTGTCTATGTGTGTATGTATATGTGTGTGTTTGAGTGTAGGTGTGGGTGCACATGTATATATGTGTGCATGTGAGTATGGAGTTCCTCAGACATCTTCTACACCTCCTCTTTTGAGTCAGGCTCTATCACTGGGATCCCGGCTTGCTGATTAGGCTAGGCTGGCTGGCCGGCAAACCCCAGAGATGTACCTGTCTCTACCTCCTCAGCACTGAGATTAAGTGCATACACAATACCTGGCTTTTTCTTAACTGAATTTGGGGTATTGAGCTCAGCTCCTCATGTTTGTTTAATGACTGGACCATGTCTCCAGGCCCTATGTTGCTTTTGGTAATAGTAAGTTTTCTCCTCCCTACATTTATCGAAAAATAATCTGATATGTAGAGATTAGAAACGCATGTGCAAACATCTTAATGTCAATTGCATTAAAAATGAAGTTTTCTAAATAAAAAAATCTTGAGTTTTAAGATCAAGATTTGAGATAGAGCACCAGAGAAACAACAAGCCTTTGATCCTCTCTTATGGTATGCTTACTATACTTCCTGACAGAGGAATGCAAAGAAAGACAGACGGCTTCCAAAAAGCAATTATTTCACATTACCTACAACTTACAAAGAACTTGTAGATTAAAAAAGAATCCCTGGGGTGATTGTGGGTATATGCCTGTGATCCCAGCACTCAGGAAACTGAATGAAGCAGAAGCATTGTAAGCTTGAGGCTAGCCTTGATGACAATGATCTTGTTTCAACAACAAACGTATCTAGCTGTCACATATATTATCACTAATATTAGACTCTTGTGGAAATTAGCTTATACAGTTAAAAATGAAATTAGATTTATACAAACTTTTCTTTTGATCTATATGAATTATGTAATAGACAATGGAAAAATGGTTGATATACATTGATTTTCTTAATATACATTACTGTATCTTCATTTATAATTTTAACCGGCTTTAAAATCATTTATTAATTTAAATTATCACTTTAGTTCTCATGTTAAAATATCTTCATTTTCTTCACTCATTTTCCTAAGAAAAGTAATAGGAATATAATTTGATAAGGATTGTACCTTTAAATGATTCCCCACAGCAGCATCATGCAAGGGCAGAATTCCATCTACATTTTCAGAGTTTACCTTTGCACCAGATTTCAATAGCTCTAAAATTATATCACTAAATCCCTTATTAGATGCCTCATGAAGTGGTGTCCAACCTAAAAAAGGAAAGAAGAAAAAATAATTGAGCTGCTTCCCATACCAATCAACACTCATGTAACATCTTTATTCCTTAAGGGGTCTGGTATTAGCAGAATTAATCTACTGAAATATGTACATATATACCCTAAGTATTAGACAAAAAATACTATTAAAAGTATGGCTTTAAAATGTACAAGTTTCATTTTGGAAAAAAGTAGTCTCTTCATAAATAATGCTGATACAAATGCCCAAACAGAAGACTCACAGAATGTAAGACATAATGGAAACAGAGTAAATGCTAATCATTTCAGCTTGTTTCAACTCAGGTACTGTAATGCGAAGCTTTCATATTCACATATTTGCATGTTATATTTCTCTTTAAAATGGCATTTGACTCTGTCAACCTTTGCATTGCCTTCTTTAATTCTTTAAGAAAGACTTTTATGTATAAACAAAACATCAGAAAATCAATTTTTAGAACAAGTTTAGAATAAGAAAGAAAGAAAAAAATAAGAAAGGAACAATATAAAGAGAGATGGAAACAGAAGAGTCAGAAAGTTAGAGAGATTTGTATTTTCTCCAAAGTCAGGGAATGGAATTCAGGTTTCCAAGAAAAAGGCTTAATTCTCTTTATTCCCCATTCTCTCTATACCCCCTTTGAATGCCCGCAAATAGAAGAACTGTTTCAAAGGAGAAAATTATTTCCACAGTGACAAATCTTTTTTAAAAATCTCTCATTTATTATTTTTATTTTATGTGTATGAGTGTATTGCCTGTATGCATGTGCACCCATGTTGTGCAATGCCCAAGGAGGACAGAAGAGGACGTCAGATTCCCTGAAACTAGAGTTAGGACTGTTGTTAGCTGCCATGTGAGTGCTGGAAACTGAACCTGGGTCCTCTGCAAGAGTCAGTCTAACAAATGAGCCATCTCTCCAGCCCCAACAATGACAAATCTTAATAGGAATCTAAAAAAACATGGTATAAAATACAGTTCAAAGTTAGTTATATCCTAGTCAGTATTAAAACTAGGGCCAAGGGGAAAAATGAGTATTTCAGTGAGTTCAAATGATAAAAACAATTAATTCAAACCTGCGTTATCTTTTAGATTCACATCTGCTCCAGATTCTATTAGACTTTTCACTAGGGACAGATTTCCTCTTCTGGAAGCTAAATGAAGCTGGCTTTCCCCTTTGGCATTCCTCTTATGGATCCGAGCAGTATTCACTTCTGTAAATTTATTAAGCAAAACAGTTTTCTTTTCTGACCAATTCTGATTATTATAAAAGGATCTTAGGAAATACAGACCAACTTCCTCAAAATAGTCTAAGCTGGATGTGCTACACTAAATGCATGGAACACTGCTGCTTTTGTTTACAATCCTAACTTGAGAAACATGACAGTAGAGCACTCATTCTAGCAACTGATTAAACCAACACACACTTGATTAAAACGCAAACTTGTTTCAGTTCCATACTCAATCTCACTCTCCTCAGTCCTTTAACAATGGAATAAAACTTTTCTTAACACGACCAAATTGTGATATTATGAAAACTGTTTTTCAGGCCAGGTGAAATCCCAGCACACAGTCAGCAGCTGAGGCAGCAGAATCTCAAGTTCCAGGCCATGGGCTACAATAGTGAGCATCTATTTAAAAAACAAACCTGAATGCAACTCTTGCGCCGGGACTCCCTAAGACACATTCACCCTTCCATCCCTCCTGCCGTTCTATACTCCTAGTTTGGGCCCTGCGCCATTCCTAGTCTTGGGGCCCCAGACACCTGGGGAACCAATACTGCTTCCTGATCCTTCTCACCCA